GCATCAGGTACCCGCAGTTCCTTTTCTTTTTGAATAATTCATTATTTAAATACTTCAATGCATACCCTATACAGCACTGCATATTGTATCAGGGGTGAGGAGGGAGTACGGGACTAATTTCCCATATATTTCAACACTCCTGGTGTTGATTTGGTGCTCTGAGATTGCGATCACTGACAATGATGTAGTTGCAGCTAGTTACCTCAGAGACCAGTTTAGGGAAATTGAATAGGATCTTCTGTAGGACATTAACAGGGTCAGAGGTCTAACTTTCACAGTTGTCTGAATTATTTGCTTTGAGAACAGAACAGCAAAAAAATCCAGGAAGTAGTTTCCAGCAGTCAGCAGAAAATATGACTTCAGTCAATACTTCCCCATGCTCATCTATGAATGCTTGTATTGGTCAGCTTTTGGTCATTTCAATCAAAAACCTGATAAAATTGACTTAGAGGGGAAAATGTTTACTGTAGTTCATGATTTAAGAGGATTTGATCCCTGGTTAGGTGGCTGCAAGTGAGAAATGTCATGATGGGAGGGCATGGTAGACGAAAGCTGTTCACCTCACAGAATCTAGGAAACAGAGAGCAAGGGAAGAACATGAAGAGGAAGAGGCCATGGACCAGTATAGACCCCAGGGCCATATTCCCCATGACCCACTTCCTCTGTCTGGGCCCTACTTCCTGTTAGCTTGTTCAGCTTTGCACTTGTCAATGCGTTAGCCTATTGATGTGGTTAGTGCTCCTACAAACCAGGACTGGAGTACTCCAGGACTCTCCTAATCCAGCAAAGCTGACAAGATTAATCAGCCCAGTGCTTTAGGACAAGATATAGGAGACAGAGCAGAGTGATGTCAGTTGACTTGTGTCCATGCAACACTAGCTGTAAGTTCAGCCAATAGTCAGTCATCCCTCTAGATTCTATGTAATGTCCCTTCTTCTGTGAGCATTTGCTAAGGACCCCATCACAAGTCTTCACTATACCTGACTGCTTGGTGAAGTCTCTGTCCCTCGGTAAACATTGGACTCGTGAAAGTGGAGTGTCCCTTCCATTGCTGCATCCCTGGTGCTTGGTACAGGGCCTGGCAAAAACAAACAAACAAACAAACAAACAAAAAAAAAAAAATGAAACACTTTGCATTTGCTTAATAAAAGAATGGATTTTTCAAAGTTCAACTAAATTCTGTTGGTTGCAAGTAACTGATGTATAAACTGATGTATAATTGCTTTTGCTCTCAGGGGAGAGTATTATAAAGATATTGGAGTCTCTTATTGAATCTACGGGCAAAATGAGGCTGGGCAGGAGCCAGAGCTCTAGAACCATCCAGATGTTCCCATCTCTGGCCTCTGCCTCTCTGGGTCAGCTGCCACCTGCACCAGTAGTGCCTGAAACATTCCATTGTGCTGCACGCTGGCCACCCACACTGTGTGGTTGAGTCTAGACATGGATTGGTTCTATGTGAGGTGGTGACTACCCCTACACCAATTAACTAGTACCCAGAATTAATGTTCTTCAGGATTGTCTTAGACAGCTCCAGCTGCTATAATAAAATACTGTGTTCTTGGTGACTTAAATAATTGGTGAATATTATCTCACAGTTTTGTAGGCTGGAAGTCTGAGGTCAGGGTACCTGCATGACTGGATCCCCAGTAATGAGACTTCCTGGTTGGCCACCTCTCATTCTGTTCTCATATGAACTTTTCTATTGTGTTCCCCTATGAAGGGTAAGAGGAGATAGGTCCCTGCCTGTCTTCTCACAAGGGCACTAACCTGATCAGGAAGGCCCTATCCTCATGACCTAGTTTAACTCTAATTATTTCTCAAAGGCCCCCTCTCCAAATATTATCACACTGTGGGTGTAGGGTATCAATATAGGAATTTGGGGGCCACACAGACATTCAGATCATAATGAGGGTAGAGTCTGATTGGCCTTTTTTCAGTCAGATGTCCACTCTCATGCCAGTGAGGTAGGCAAGGTATTGTGGTTCCCATGGGGCCTGTATGGATGAGCTGGGGGTGGAGGTGGGGGAAGGGCTCCAAGAACAGAGCTCTGAGCAACCCAAAAATGTTGCATGTCCTCGAGCAGTGTGAGTGACTGCAGTGGCATCGCATTGTCTGACACTGACACTTGTTTTAGACTGTAGCTAGGGCTAATTTTCTGTCCTTTGGGTGAGAACTAGCTCAGTTTGTGTTTGTGCCTTGTGCTTTCTCCTTCTGCTATTTTTAAAATATTGTCATTAAACAATAGCATCAGAATGGTTTAAAACATACAACTTATAAAAACCACTTTCATATCCACTAACTACCTAAAACAGTGCTCACAAGTCTGCTGGGGTTTGCTATCACTATTTCCCATGAGAGGAAATCAAGGCTGACCTCTATCCCAGCTCTGGGCACCACTACATGGCAGAGGGAGCCCTGGAAATAGGGTCAGTTCCTGTTTCTCATTAGTATTAAAGCCGTGTGTCTGGCTGTTTACTTTTTGAAAAGTCTTTGCCTTTGGGAGATATTGACAAATTTTGTCTACAGAGTACAGATCCGGTGCCAGGCTCTGTCCCAAACTTTTTACTGGTGCCAACTCCTTCAGTCTTTACAGCAGCTCATCAAAGAAGTAATTATTGTTATCCTATTAAACAGACTGGGAAACCAAGTCAGGGGAAAGCTTTGCAGTTCACCCAAGGCTGCAGGGCCAACACTACCAGTACCTGGGAAAAGTAAGTGTTCTGACTCAAAGGCTGTGCTTTAAGATGCACAATGACTGAACTGTGGAGTTTGTGGCCCTGCAGGGCCCTAGGAACACTGGTTCCAAGGCCAGATGGAAGGATGTGAACAGACAAAAGGCTATTACCTTTACTGAGGAGGGCTCTGCCCAGTGGAGCTGCTCTGTGCTGTGTTGTCTGTATATGGTCTGAATTAATACTCTGTTGAATCCAGAGGTATCAGAATAGCCAGGGGTCTGTGGATAAAGAGAACTAAGGCTGGACCTGGAGGAGGAAGATCTTATCCACAACCACATGCTACTTTGTCTTGGGGCAAAGATACAAACTCAACTTCCAGAGTCCACATGATACTCTTTCCAGCCCTCTGATCTCTCATCCCCGCTTCCCTCCCTCTGGGCTTCCATCTTCTCCTCCGCATAATGAGGAATTGAATCTGACAGTGCCAAGGCTTTTGTTCAGCCCACACTTTCCCGCTGAAGCTCGGCCACTGCCTACTGTCAAGGAAGAGGGAAAAGCCACACACAGCCTTGATGATATCCTGAATCTCCATGACAAGTGATTTTCACAGCGGGTAGTCAAACCTTGCTGGTCTTGGATCAGCTGGATGGGTAGTCCTGGCAGTCTCTACATGGCTGAGTCCTTTACTGTGCTGTGGTGCTAGAAGGTGGGACTATTTGTTACCAGGCTTGTAGGGTCTGCTGGGCAGGAACAGATAAGCACTAGTAAGAGTGGGTTCAAAGAAGACTTCATTGGCACAGGAATTGGCCTTCACAGTCCCCACACAGGAGAACAGGTTCCTTCTTTCTTTGAGGTCAGTGTTTAATTTTAATATCTTTACTGCCGCAATGTCTTTCCTGGCTGACTTTAACATGGCATTTCCAAATCTAAAATGACACCCCATAGTGGGCTGTCCTTAATGTGAGCAGTTTCCAGCATGACTCTTAGATGTGAATCAAACCTGTCACCGTTGGGTCTTGGCTGCCAAATCATTTGGGTCTTGACATTCTCACTGACATCCTGGGAGAACCACAGGCTGAAATGAACAGGGTTTTGCTTGAGGAACAATGAATAAAACTCTGATCTGGGGTCAGTGTTTAATCTCTGTGGGTCTGCTGTCTTCACACTCGAGAGAACATTGGCCTAAATGATCTTTGAAGTCTTCCATCGCCTCCTGTGTTTTAGTTCTCAGATTCAGTGTTTCCACTGCCCTACAGGCAGAAGTTTATCATTCTGCCATTCATATCCTGGCCCTGCTGAGTGTGATTTGCAAAGCTCTTTCCCACAGTAGGAAAGAGTGAGGTGTTGGGCCAGGCACCGGAGCTCTGCTTCCGGGAAAGTCCTTGAGCCCTTTTCTTCAGACTCCTTCCTGGCTTGCAACGTGGAACAGGAGCATTACTTTTTCAAGGGGTCGGGGATCTTTGCCAAATGCCAAGAGGAAATCACCTGTGGAGCAGAGTTGTGTGTCTGCACTCAGACAGCCGGGGTTCTTTGTCATCTGTTTCCTCCTGATGGACAGCCTTGACCCAAGACTTGTCATTATCATCTCTAAAAGATTAGGTGAATAGAAACAGCACCATAACATGAAATGAAAGTGTGAGTCTCTCAGGGATCTGTGTTTCTAAACGGTTTAAATTTAGAACCCAGTAATTTGTAGCATGTAAATCTCTATCATATTATGTGAGTGAAACAAGAACTGTGCAAAATAATTTGGGCAGAAAATGTGCAGCTGTACTTTGAGAAGGATGCCTCCCATGGCTCTGTTGCTCAGTGCTCTTTTCTCATTGTATTGTCCACCAGATCTTAACACTAACCCTGCAAATGGCAGGAAGGGCATTTTCATTTCAATGTTTTTCCTAGGGAAACTGAGGCTCCGTGTGGTAAGGGAATTACCCAGGACCAGAGCCCAGCTCTAAGCTCACGCACATTCCTTCTGAGTGGTGCATTGTTTTTCCAGCGCCCACTGCAGCCATCTCTTCTGCACTGGGAGTCCTCTTTTCCCTTTGAATGTGTCTGTTATCTGCTCCAGGGCTGAGGACGCTCTTTGTGCCGGTAGGCAGTCTGCACTTGTTCTTTTCAGTCCTGGCAAGAAAAAGGAGGAATTCTAAAAAGCAGCAATTATCCCTCCTGGTTCTTTTGTACGAAGCTCTGTAAATAATTTATTTGGCTTTGAGGGCCCACAGACTGAAAAACATATTGAACCTTTTGGTAACCAGGAGAATTCCGCATTCAGAACTTGAATGTGGTGGAAAAGAAAAACTGTTTCTTTGAAATCGGAGAAGACAGAGTGACCTAAGAGCTGAGGCGTGAGTCTGGAGTTGGTCAGATCACAGCAAGAAGGAAGTTTTTTTTTAATGGTACATAAGGATCACCCACCAGGTTTCCCGGTCCACATCCTTCTCCGTCACGTGGGGAATTTTGGAACAGCTGGCTGCAGAGTTGGAAGGCACTGAACAGGGCTGAGCTGGGGCGCTTCCCAAGCCCCTCCTGCTGCACTCAATACCTGGGTAAAACAAAGAAAATTGTGTTTGCCCGGCTCACTTGCTGAAGTCACAAGATTCCGAGTATCATGCAGCACTCTGGAATGCCTGCGAAAACTCAGAAGGGGCTCACCACAGGCCGCACTGGAACGGCTGTCCACCGGACTTTTCAGATAAAGACGTTTAGCACAGAGTTGAAAAACCATGTGCTGGTCATGGATTTTGTGAAGAGTAACTGGTTTCCCTCCCAGAGAAGAGCCAAAGTTTGTATCCTCCATATGTGTCAAGGACTGAAGACAGCTGAGTCACCAACCAGCAGACATGAGGTACGGCTGAGGCAGGCGGGGACATGGAGTGCACACTTAGTTCCAAGAGAAATGGAGTGCTGTGTGTCGCACAGACAGCCCAGGTGTTAATCTGGTCTAAGAAATTAGCCACATTTATTTGTAATCTTTCTTAAAGTTTTTTGGTTCCTTAATTTCTTTCAGTTTTTATAATAACAACATTGGGGGGCACATTATATGATGTTAGTTACACATGACAAGTATCTGCATTTATGAACATTCAGTAGGGCTCTAAAGACTTCTGCAGTGGTGGGTTATTGGTATTCACATTTAAAAACATGCAGGACATTTATTTGAGTTGAATATTCTTAGCTCTGTAAGTTTTCAATTATCTGTCTTTAAAAACAAATTCTTATTTGTTTATGTGTTATGCAGAATGTATAGGACTTTCCTTGATCACGTTAAAACAAAGTAATTCAAGAGTGTTTTTTTTTCCCCCCCCCGCGATGAACTCTAATTTTCAAGTGCAGACAAGTTTGTGGTAGAAGGAACTTTGGGAATTTAAAATGTCAAAGTGAGATAAACATGTTACTGTGAAACATATTTATATTCTGCAACTGGTGTTAGCCATAAGAGGTTATCATTTCAGAAAGTAAACACACACGAAATCTGATCAGCTCTTTATTGTACATGGAATAAATTATGAATGACACTGTAATTGACTCCCAGATACCTCACTTGCCCATCTCTTTTGATAAACCTAACAAACAAATTGGCAGTGTTTTGTGAAAAGGTAACCTTTCTGAATATTGATGCTGTTATTAGGAAACCCTTCCCATGAATGCTGGCAAAAGCTCAGCTCTTTTGTTCCCTGTACTTGGCAGAACGAAGGTAGCACACTGTAGAGGGAACAGGTTTAGCAGGATTCAAGGCTGTCTTCTTTCAGTTCTAGCCCTGATGTGTGAGTTTTCATGTTCACAACAGAGATGTAAAGGCCATAGAAATAATGATGTTAATTAAATTCAGTAATAGTTGTTCATTACTTCATTGCCCAATCAACCAGAGCAAAAGGTGTGCAATTAGAATATAATTGAAAGAAACCAGAGATGTTATTATTCACAAGTAATTAATCAGATGGGGACAGAATTTTATCATTGTAAAATTTTCACTGAGGTTATTTTCCAGTCCTCCAGAGAGGGAAAAACTTGAATTATATCATCATGCATTTTATAATAGTGTTCATGGCTCCATTTTAAACTCTACATAGCAATCACTCCTATATTCCCATTATTTCTCATGTATTAAACTTTGTTGATTTGTTCATTATTGTGTCCTCATGGAGGATAACAGTGAGAAAAAAGTGCATCTTTACAGGAAGTTGTAAAAATTTCAGATATACCGATAGTCACAGTTAGATCATTTTTTGTGTGTGATTTAACTCTCCACCACCATTTAAAACCAACAGTTGAGCCACCAATGTTCAAATGAGTCCCAGGCCCCTCTGCGGACAATCACTCTGATGTCTGTGCAGTTCTTGCTGTGTCTGTGATGTGAGAAGTGGTCCAGTTCTTCCTGGGTTAAAGGGAAGGCCAAGTTTAAAAACCAACAGATGGGATCAGAGCCTCCTATATTTGAACTTTGTTCTACTTTTAGTACCAAACATTTTCAGAAATTAAATATTCTACATCCACTGAACTACGGTATACTTTTTATTATTCTCATTGGGGCATATCAGCACCATTTAGATTGAGGAAAGTAGGAAGAAGCAAACCTCCTTGCTCAATTTCCCAAGCTGAATAGATGAGTGAACCCAATTAACAGCCTTTGGGTTGTCTTCCATCAGCTCACATGTCATCCATTAACCTGCTCCTGGCTTTGAACATATAGTGCCTGATGAGGTGAAAAATAAGCAAGGTCACTAGTATAAATTCTCAATGCACAAAGGTGCTGGGTTAAAAAAAGACTGGTTGCTTTTCTAGTACAGTGAGTTTGTGAGATATTATTTCTGTGAAAACCTTATGGATTTCAAGTACTTTCTGTGAGGACTAGCAAATCTGCTTGAGTTATGTACAAGATCTACAGACTGTGATTTTTCTAAAACCATAGACTTAGTCCTGAGCTGTGTTAATGTTTGGAGAAACCACCTGTTACTTAGCAAGCAGTGACCTGATATAACTTCAGCTGTGGTCCAGCCACATTCATCCTCTTCCTTACACTGAATTTAGTAGGAGCCATAAGTAGAACCTATTGAGCACAACCGTAACTAGGGCAGGAAGCAGAAGAGGGTGAGGATGCTGCAGATCTTTATGTTTTTATTTGCAAAACCTAGACCTCTGTTGACTCTAAAATGTCCCAAGCTAACAGGACCATTGTATGTTAAGGGCATTTCTCTCTGCATATGTATTTGATAAATTTCAGATAACCTCAAAGCCTTAGCGGGTCATGGGGTGGGCACATCTTGGAGCTATGCCTGCTATCTACATTTCAAGTATGGACACATTCTAAGACTCCCTATAAAGCAAAGCTGGGATGGGTTCACTAATGTAAGGAAGGGAAACCATGTAGAGTTCAGTGATGTTCTTGTATCTCCTGCAGTATGAATGTAAGTCCCTTCTCAATTCATTGCTAGGACCTTTCTGATCATCTGGGGGCTTGAAAACCAAGGCTTGCCCAGCTATCTTCTGATTGGTGAGTTTCCAATACACTTAATCATGAGAAGAGCCGGGGAAAGTTTTTCTATTTGGAAATTACTATTTGGCCATGCCTCTCAATATTTTTCAAAACTTCTGTCATCATTTGCAACTCTCATTTCTACTCATTGGGGGGAGGGGTGTCATGGCAGGATTTAGCCATTAATGCTCCATTCTCAATGGGTATAAAGATCATGGTGAACTTTAAGAAATTACATATGCCTATGGCCTGGCCAAAGCCACCATGACTCAGGACGCAGAGCAGTGTCGAGGCATTGACAATAAAGAAGTAGGTAAAAACCACTATTGTCTTCCATTTCTCTCTTCATTCCATTCATGTTTTCGTCTAACTTCTTGAGCAAAAGAAAAGAACAAATTCATAATAATGGTTTTAAAGCCCTTGTCTGCTCATTTTATCATTATCTCTGTTATTACTGCATCTGTTTCTATTGATTAGTTTTCTTCCTGATTATGGGTCATATTTTCTTGCTTGTTTGCATTCCAGTTTTAAATTGAGTTTTAGAGACAGTGAACTTTGCATCACTGAGTGCTTGGTTCTTTTCTGTTCTTGTGATGAGTATAGAACTTTGCTCTGGCATAAGGTTAAACAACTTGGACACAGGTTGGTTCTGCTGAGGCTTAGTTTTGAGATCTGTGGAAACAGGTCCAAACTAGGCTTCAGTGGTTCTTTACTGATGATGACTTTGCTCCATACTCCAGGCATATCTGGTAGTCTTTGGACAGTTTTGCTTGTGAAAATTTGGTGGGGGGAGGGCAGATGTCTCTGGTTTCTAGTGGGTAAAGGCAAGAGATGCTGCTACTATCCTACAGTGCATGGGGCAGCTGCTTGCCTTCCAACAAAGAATTATCTGGCCTTTAATATCCATAGTGCTGAGGCTAAGAATCTCTGTGCCAGGGCTAACTTAGCCCCACTATTAAGATATGACCCTTCTGAGGATTCAGTCTGATGTCCCAGGTATAACAAGATCTCTACACTTAAGCCAGGAATGGAAAGTCTTTTTGGCTCCTACAGTTGTCTGACTTACCACCTTCTGGTAGTTTTTTCCTGGTTTTGGTACTCTATTTCTCTCACAGGTTCAAATCGGTATTTAGCCGAAGATTTGAGGAGGTCTAGCACCTCTTTCCTTGCAGTTCTCTACTCTTCACAAATTCTGACTATGTCAGCTGTCCCAAATCCTATCTCTGCCTCCTCTGCTCACTGAAATTCCAAGTTCAGTTGAGTTTTCCTTCTCAGAACCGAGACCAAGAAGGGGCTAGGGATTTAGCTCAGTGGAACAGCACCTGCCAGGCAAGTGCAACATCATGAGTTTGATTGCCGGTACGGGGGTGGGGGGGAAGCGGGGAGACTGAGACCAAGAAACTGCCTCTGGGATCAGGGAAGTTATAGCACTCCTCTCCCTCAGCAGTCCTGCATTGCATATTGACCAGTGTCTGGAAAGCATCGTGTTATAGCTTTTGCCTGGCTATTCTATTCTATCATGGCTAGAAGAAGATGGTTTTGATATCCCACTAGGGCTGAAAAACTTCATTCTGGGTTTTGATGAATGCTTTCAAATGCTTTCAGTGTTTCTTCTGGTCTTGAGAAATAAAAGCACTCAAGTTTTAAGTGCTTGGACTTCAAGATAACTTGATTCAGGGGATAAGGAGATCACTGAGACAAAACAGGAGGAAAACAAACATTCCCTTTCTTCTCATAGTTATCAAAAGGTGTAAAACAATTTTACCTGTTTTCCAACACAGCTGAAGGAAGAGCTGTTCCAAGATCAAAGTCTTACTAGTCTCACTTTTCTTCCTGAAGTTCTGGCCTGATAGTGATGCTTTTATGGAGATGTGCTGGCAACTTTGTCTGCAGCGATGTCGCTGGCCCTCCAGAATGAGCTGCCTTACCCGCTCACTGGGTGTGTAAGTGCCATTCCTCTTAGAAGTTTCAACATCTCAGCTTTTGTTGGCAATTGCTGGGAGCCTCCATTGGGAATTCCTATTATCCTGTATCCAAACACAGAAAGAGGGAAATCCTGGAATTGAAAGGGAAATATAATGATAATCTGTGGGTCTCAATGCTACCTGTCTCCATAATCTTCCAGCACCTCCTCTCATTTGCCAAGGGGAGCCTGGCTGTCAGGTCTCAGTGTCCCAAAGAAGCATGAGAGGTCAGAAGTCTGCAGTTAGCTTGGTTTTATCTGGAGGCAAATGTGGCAGTTGAAGTCTCCAATCTCACTGTGCAGTGTTTTATGGTAGGAGAAATAAGACTTGACCCAGGGCGTTTTCAGCCAAGGCTTATAAGATCCATGTGATATTGTTTGGCCAATTTCCCCTAGGGACTTCAGCATG